GATAATGTACTTGGGTTTCGTATAGTTAGCCAAGAACGAGACTATATTCTCGATCGTGAAGTTAGAATTCGAAGCTATTGCCTTAATTTGCTCGTCAGTTATTACGAGAATAACTATTTCGATCATAAAAGATCTTCACTTTTACTATACGAAGTCGCAAAAGAGATCGACGAGCGTACTCAGCATAAAGATGGAAACTTGTCAGAACACGTGTTCATTACGTCGAACAGAATATTAGCGTAGTCGATCTTACGTCCACAAAGAGATTTAAACTCTTGTAAAATTGGACCACGACCGATCACTTGTCGTCCATTCGTTGAGCCACGTCTTAGCGTCACTTTTTAGACAATTCACCACGCGCGATAAAAACTAAATCAGTCCAGCCATTTGATATTTTAGCCCGATCGACTTCACCTCAAAATCGTGTACAGACGGGTTGAAATTTGATACGATAACTACGGTTCGCCCGATTAATACTAAGAATGGTATCCGTAAGTGCTTGCGTGGCACTCAAAAACGGTTCATGACTACTATGAGGAGTATTGTCACGTTCATTCGGTATTGAAGATGAATCCGCCGTCCTTTATTCAAAATCACTAAGTCTCGACATAATCGCGTTCAACGTTTACTTCATTAAAGCATCACGACTGCGCGAACGACGACGTTCCTCTAACCTATAAGACTGTCCACGTCGACTCTCGTCTGAGCGCTCTCGAACACGGGAATAATCGCGAATCTGACACGTGTCAGTGGAATGTTCACGACGACGTTGCCACGAAGAACGGTTATGCACACGATTATAACGGCGCGTTCGAACACTACCCGATCTTGAACACCGTTTTCGGCTATGCATTGATGATCGTTCACTGTCACTATTAGTATCACTAGATGCAGACAAATTACGACAGATACTACGCTTCCTTTTTCGCGACTCACTTATTCGCAAAGGTGGGGTCCCTTCCGGCCTACTCCGCGATCTAAAGCGATTACGCATCGCAAACGCATTGAAATTTAAAGCAAATGAAAATTTGTACTAGCGGCTGTTTCTTTGTTCTATCCTCCTATGAAATAATTTAGAAAACAGATAGTGAGTT